AAAAAAACAGTAAAGAGCTAGACATCCGTCCATGAACTGAGTCTCAAGAGAAAGTGGTCATGCAGCAAGACAACGACCCCAAGCCCACAAGTCATTTTACCAAAGAATGGTTAAAGAAGAACCAAGTTAATGTTTTAGAATGGTCAAGTCAAAGTTCAGACCTTAAGGAGCAGAAGCAAGCAGTTCATAATACAAAACTCACCAACATCACAGTTGAAGTGGTTCTGTACTGAGGAATGGGCTAAAACTCCTACAAGCCGTTGTGCAGGACTGATCAGCAGTTACAAGAAACGTTACCTGCAGTTATTGCTGCAAAAGGGGGCCACGCCAGATACAGAAATCAGAGATTCACATACTTTTACAATGCATATACTGTATATGTAACACTGGATCAATTTTCTCAAATAAATGACAAATAAAAAAAATGGTCTCATTTGTTTAATTGGGTTCTCGGTCTAATTTCAGGACTTGTGAGGAAATCAGATTATGTTTTGGGTCATATTTATGCACAAATATATATAGAAAATTCTAAAGGGTTCACAAATTTTTAAGCAGCACTGTATATATATATAAAAAACCTACAAAATCACACAGCAAAATTACAAGGTCATGTGGTGTTAACTGGATACATGTCAGTGTAGAAGCTACTGCAGAAAATAAATGAAAATGACATGAACCATAAAGCTACAAGCATTACTTGGTCAAAAGTAACTGCATTAAATACTCCACAAGCAAGGCGTTGCCTGCCCTGTTTTATTTAAACAAAACAACAAAAAAAACAGTAAAGAGCTAGACATCCGTCCATGAACTGAGTCTCAAGAGAAAGTGGTCATGCAGCAAGACAACGACCCCAAGCCCACAAGTCATTTTACCAAAGAATGGTTAAAGAAGAACCAAGTTAATGTTTTAGAATGGTCAAGTCAAAGTTCAGACCTTAAGGAGCAGAAGCAAGCAGTTCATAATACAAAACTCACCAACATCACAGTTGAAGTGGTTCTGTACTGAGGAATGGGCTAAAACTCCTACAAGCCGTTGTGCAGGACTGATCAGCAGTTACAAGAAACGTTACCTGCAGTTATTGCTGCAAAAGGGGGCCACGCCAGATACAGAAATCAGAGATTCACATACTTTTACAATGCATATACTGTATATGTAACACTGGATCAATTTTCTCAAATAAATGACAAATAAAAAAAATGGTCTCATTTGTTTAATTGGGTTCTCGGTCTAATTTCAGGACTTGTGAGGAAATCAGATTATGTTTTGGGTCATATTTATGCACAAATATATATAGAAAATTCTAAAGGGTTCACAAATTTTTAAGCAGCACTGTATATATATATATATATATATATATATATATATATATA